GTTCCACCCCCCTGCCATGGGCACAGACATCTGGCACTAGCCCAGGTTGCTGAGTTTCTCTGGTGTCCAGGTCAGAAACGAGAGCTGAGGTCACAGCACGAGGGTGGACACTGCTCCAGGGGGGTGATTTTGGGCAGAACAAGGAAGGAGCCACCGGACTAAGCAGGCCAGGACTTGGCAGAGAGCAGGGCAGCACAGAGCACATTTGGGGGGAGATGATGGAGCAGCCCAGCCCCAGCACCTGACATGGTGAGAACCCCCCGTTACACAGAGCTGTGTCACTGTGGATCCCTCACACACAGGGATTCAAACACAGATCAAGTGTGAGGGCACCCAAAACCACGAAAACACAGATCTACCCACTCCAACTGAGCTTCTGGAACTCACTCACTTATCCAGAAATTACTCTCCATGAGTATTTAATTAATGAAGAAGACACTTGCCATTACATATTTTCATGTAACATGACAGTCCTTCCTTCCTCACACTCCAGCCCAGAGCTCATCTAGAAACTCCCTCTGTGGCCACTGACCTTATTTTTGACTTTTTTGATCTCCTGGATAAATCATCATCTGCATCAAAGAGAGACACGTCCTCAATGTCATCACTGTCCTGAAGAGGGGAACAGAGAAGGGTTACATGAGAAAAATGAAGCCATGAATCCATAACTTCAAGCAGGGACAGTTTTGATCACCCAGAAAATCAGAGGCACCTCAGGATCAAAATTAGTTAAGGAAGAACCACATACAAAATAAAAAATGCACAGAATCATGGAATCTCCTGAGTTGGAAGGGACCCTCAAGGATCATTCAGTCCAACTCCTGGCCCTGCACAGACACCCCAACAGTCCCACCCTGTGCCCCAGAGGATCATCCAAACCCTCCTGCAGCTCTGGCAGCCTTGGGGCTGTGCCCACTGCCCTGGGGAGCCTGTTCAGTGCCCAACCAGCCTCTGGGGGAAGAACCTTTTGCTGAGCTCCACCCTGAGCCTGCCCTGACACAGCTCCAGCCATTCCCTGGGGGCTGTCCCTGGTCCCTCCAGAGCAGGGATTGGTGCTGCCTCTCTTTAGGAATGATTGTTTTGTGCCCTCAGTGCCAGTCCCAGCCCAGCCCTGGGGCTCTGCAGCTCGTCACAAACACTGACTCTCCCAGCGCTTCACCAGCACCTGCTTTCTAAGGAGCAGCCTCGGAAAGCTGCTCCTTTTGCCCGAATAACAACCCCGGTGGGAGAAGGTTCTGTCACTGACCCTTCAGAGAGAATTCCCGACCCGAACTGCGGCCAGGACGGGAAACCGCTGCGACTGCAGCCTTGCCTGCTGTGACCCTGTAAACAGCGGGCCGAAGCGGCGCCTGAAAATCGACATAACCAGGCCCCACACGTGGCATTCCCGGAGCTCCGCATTCCCGAGACAGGGAATGTGTGCGTGCCAAACACCGGGCGGCCGCGGAGCCCGGCGAGGGCTGCTGGGGACAGCCAAGGGCTGTTGGGATGAGCCGCCTCTGTGTCCCGGGGCCCTCAGGCACCGCTGCCGGGCCTGATCCCAATCCCGATCCCGGTCCCATGCCCAGGGTCCCGCCCCGATCCCGGCTGCCCGATCCTGGCCCTGTGACAAACGCGCAGGGCCCCGTTCCCAACCCCAACCCCAACCCCGATCCCAATCCCGATCCCGGTACCGGTACCATGGTCGGAGCCGCCACTTCCGCCTCCACCGCCAGCGTCACCTCCACGGGCCAATCGCGGCTCGCCCCGCCCCCGAGGCACCGCCCACATCCCCTTACGTCACACCCGCAGGCCAATCGCGACGCGTCCAGCCCCCCGGTGACTCCGCCCCCGCCATCCCGCGCGTGCGCGCTGAGGGGGGCCCGGCGCGAGACGTGTCCGTGCGCCGCTCCCGCCAAAGGCCCTGAGGGGAACGGGGGGGGGGCGGGGGCGGCACCGCCTGAGGGACCGCCCGGACCCCATCCCGACCCGATCCCGACCCGATCCCAATCCCGGACCCCATCCCTGATCCCCATCCCGGACCCCATCCCGGACCCCATCCCTGATCCCCATCCCGGACCCCATCCCGGACCCCATCCCGGACCCCATCCCGGACCCCATCCCGGACCCCATCCCGGGTTCCCCATCCCGGACCCCATCCCGGGTACCTCATCCCGACCCCATCCCGGGTACCTCATCCCGGACCCCCTCCCGACCCGATCCCAATCCCAATCCCAATCCCAATCCCGACCCGTTATGACCCGACGCAGCAGCACATAACGTTCTATGTTAAATTATCCAGAAGTCCAAAAAAAAACCCCCAAAAAAGTAAAGTAAAAAATTCCGTAGAAAAACATCTCAAGGGGACGGTCTCGCCTGCTTGTGTTTTTTTTTGGTTGGTTGGTTGGTTTTTTATTTGGTTGGGTTTTGTTTGTTTTGTTTTTGTTCGGGTTTTTTTCGGTTGTTTGGTTGTGGTTTTTTTGCTGTCGTTCTGGAGGTGTTTTGTTTGTTTGGGGGTTTTGTGTGTTTTGGGTTTTTGGTTTTGGGTTTTTTTTGGTTTGGTTTTTTTATTTTATTTTAAAGCCTGCTGCTGAACGTTTGCTTGGAAGGCAATGCAAAAAGAAAATGGCCAAGCTAATAATAATAATAATTATAAAAATAAATAATAATAAACAATAAAACCCCAAAACAAACAAGTCAAAAATATCACTGAAAAATATCTGAAGGGGACAGTCTTGTGTCTTTAGGTTTGTTTGTGGGTTTTGGGGTTTTTTTATTCACCCTGTGAAGCACTGGGTATTTCTGCTGAAACGGCAACGCTTCCAGCTACGACCAACACCCACTTTGTTCAGAAACACCTGTGGAGCTGCACAGACAGAACCACCATGACATCAATATGGTGTCAGCACATCAGGGTGGTACCTACACCTTGGGGGTGACAACAGGAGTGACGTCTGGTTACAGCAAAATCACCGAAACCCCCTTGACCCCTCTCCGAGGGGGTTTCTCTGCTCACGGGTGCGTCACGTCCTGCACGACCCAGCTCTGCCACTGCACCCCAGGTCGTCACCTCTGCACTGTGAAGGTGCAGGTGGACAGGACGGGTCAGTTTAATTCAGTAGTGAGTGGTTAATGTGGTAAAACTGACAGAGAGTAGGTTTAGGTGAGATACAGGGAAGAAATTGTTTGCCTATGAGGGTGGGCAGGCCCTGGCACAGATTGCCCAGAGAAGCTGTGGCTGCCCCTGGATCCCTGGAAGTGTCCAAGGCCAGGTTGGACGGGGCTTGGAGCAACCTGGGCTGGTGGAAGGTGTCCCTGCCCATGGCAGGGGGTGGGACAAGGAGATCTTTAAGGTCCCTTCCAACCCAAACCACTCTGGGATTCTGTGAAAAACCACCTCCTTTCATTTACCTCTGTGACTTCACCTGCCACACGTGGCACCTTGCCACAGGTTAATTCCCTTCCACTGCATCTGTGACACCCTCTCCCAACTTCGCATCCTCTGTGCTGAGCTGAAGCTGATCCCAGGACCTGGTCCAGCTCTGCCCTTGCAGGTGATCTCACACCCACCCCTGCTGGCTGTAGCACCTTCCCAGTGCCTGAGCACACACACCGGGAGGGAGGTGCTGATTTACAGCCCTCTGATCCTCCTCACTTCAGCACGGCTAAGAAGGCATCAGCCTTTCCATGATGTTTTCCCATCGGGCTTTCACTAGGAGATCCTTTTTTTCTCCAAGGGGGCTGTGCCAAAGAGCCTCTGGCTGCAGCTGGGCTGGGCTTACGCCTGATTTCTTGGCAGAAAGTGCCATCCTGTGGCTGCCTGTGGAATCCTTGCTGCTTCATGCCTGGAAACCAGTGCCAGGCAAAGCCACCTCAGGCAGTGGCAGTCCCAGTGGCACAGATGTGCTGATCCAGGCCAGTTCCCAGCACCCCCACGCTTTGTTATTTTACACTATTGCAAGGTCTGGCTTCATCCCAGGCTTTGGGAGTTGAAGATGACATTAAAACAAACAAAGCAAAACTAATCCTGACCCCCCTGTATGGAGAGTTTCAGAGGCTTTCATTTCAAAGCAGAGCTGCAGCTGAAAGGCCCCTTGGTGTGTCAGCAGGCAGTCTTAGCCTCTAATGCAAGAGAATAACTGAGATTTATGGTATGCTGGCCTAAATACTCAAAGTTGGACAACTAGAGAGGTTTTTGTCCTCCTGGTTCAAGCCAATCTCAGTCCTGAGCGTTAGTGGAAATCACAGAATCATGGAATGGTTTGGGTTGGAAAGGACCTTAAATATCATCTAGTTCCAACCCCACTGCCGTGGGCAGGATACCTTCCACAATCAAGTACGTTTTTAGGCATTTATCCACAAAAATGGGGAAATAGAAACTCTTGCCTTTGTTTTATACTTAAGAGGAACTAAGTTTTAAGCTGATTTCCAACCAGGTCCTGGTGCTGGGGGGGCTGTTCCTCCCCAGGGCAGTGCTTGGTGTTTGCCCTTGCTGAATTCCCTTGTCTCCAGCCTGTCCAGGTCCCTCTGGATGGCAGCACCTCTCTGGGATAGCAGCCATTCCTCCTGGGTGGCTCCTTATCAGCCAGGGCATTAATTAATGAAGATATTAAACCAAATCAGGTCCAATATCAACCCCTGGACTACACCACTAGTTACTGTCCTCTAACTAGACTTTGTGCCCTGATCCCACCCCCTGGGCTCAGCTGCTCAGCCAGCTTTCAGCCCACACACCTTCATCTCAGACGCTCTAATCAATCCACATGAACTCTAACAAGATGTTTTTATTATTATTTGCACACAGCTGTGCTAGTGTCAAACGGTGTCATGTCTGTAGTAACAGCAGGTGGAGTAAGTTAAATCCAGGACAGGGCTCGTTCCCTTTGCTGCCTTGAGAAATAGCTGGATATCCCAATAATATTTCTTAGGAAAACTAACACTGGGGATGTGTTTTAGAAAGCAGACTCATCTGGACACCCAAACCCTCAGGCAGTGGCTGTTAGTTGGACTAGGAGATCACCTCAGATAAACACATTATACCCAAGTTCAGGAACAGGTGTTTTCCCCTCCCCAGTAAAAGAATCCACAGGTAGGCCTTTCACTTTCCTTAGCCAGGCTTTCTGCCTTGCCCTTTCCTGATCTTCCATGCGCTCTGCCTGCCGTGCCTGACCCTGAGCTGCAGCAGCAGCTGCCTCGTACGCCTGCTTTGCTGTCAGAAGCCTGAACCCACTGTCCCTCTGGAAAGGGTCTGGATGATATGAACAAGAGGGCTCCGTTCTCCTGGAAACTTCATTTTTCATCTGTGTTGGTTTGATCAGCTCAGAAGAAGCTGTACAGAGATCAGTGAAGTGAACCCCAGCTCTGGGGAGAGGAATAGCCTTACCACGGCCCCCGGGGACTTTGTTTTGTCCCAGCAAAGCCTTGGGACGTACAACACAGGGGGCAGGGATGGAGGATTTCACACTGGGGCCGTACAAGGAATTTTTCAGCTTGAGCCGCAGCATTTTGGTTTCGAAGGGTGTAGAAATTGTTTTCATAGTCAGAGAGTCACTGTGCAGTCTCGCTCGCTGGAGCTGCTCTGTCTGATCCTTTTTGTGCTGCAGAGGGGTTTGGGACGTTGGTACCTTTTCAGGGCGGTGTTGCTGACGTTCCCGTGGATATTTCCATGATTCCCTGGCTTTGGCAGAGTGCTCAGTACTGGCTGGCTTGCAGGTGTTCTGCAGTGCGCTCATGGTTAGGAGGAACTTCGGAGGGAACATCGAGTAATTTGAGTGTCTCCTCTTTTCAGGCTGCAAAGTGTGCTCTGCCTCGTCAGGCTGTGCAGGTGCAGGGACAGAAGGGCCATGTTCTGCTTCACCGTCTGCATCCAAAAATAAAGCAACACATTTGGAGCTGGGGATAGTTTTTGTGGTACTTGTTGGCAGGGCAGCACTTGAGTCAGAGCAGAGATGGGCACTGAATTGGCACACGTGGACAGGCCAGATTTATCTGCAGAACAGGCAGTGTAGGAAGCTTCAAAGCAATGGTGCCATTGCTGTTTGCTCATCCTTGGCCTCACTGTGACACTGCCAAAGGAGAGAAGTCTGCCTTGGATAGCTGAGAAGCGTCCCTTGCCATGAACCAGAACCAGATTCTTTTACAGATGTTGTGTTTGTGTGCGGATGGTTCAGTGTCCACCTTGTTTGAAACTCTGGTTTCTAAAAGCCATGAGGTTCCCCACCACCTCTCCCTCTGCACCCCCTTCTTGTCCTACAGTTTGTGCTTTGGGAAAAGGCTTCAAGACAAGTCAGTTGAAATCTTTGCTGGAAATCTTTGATTAGCCAGCATCTGGGAATCACTTAGAACCATCACCACTCAGAGCTGCTCTTGGGAATCATGAGACTTTTCATAGCCTAGCTCTGCTGCTTGTTTTTCTAAATTAACAGGATTTAGAGCTGTTTCATCTGCACATTGTGTGACCCTGTGTTACCAAGAGACTTTCAGTTGGTACAGATCTTCTGAAGGAAGATGTCAGAGTATGTCTGAAAGTTTAGGATCCCAACAGGTTCTGAATAAAACACCTGAGCAAAACTAAAGGAGACATGGCCACAGATATTATTGTGATCTCAGTTCTGTCTCATTTTCAAGTGTCAGGTTGCCATGTCTTTGCTGGCTGACACAATTTACATATTATTTTCAACAATTTTGAGTTGCTGCTATTGATTAAATACCAACTGCCTAAATAAATTTTGTGCTGAATTCTCCCACACCTGATAAAAGAAACAAAAAATAGGAGACCATAAAAACCTGGAGAGCAGAGCCCTACAGCTTGAGCTGAGCACTTGTCCTGTGTGTTTGACTGATCTAAAGCAGCTCCTGTAGCCACCCCAGGATCACTTTTACCACTGCAGACCTGTCACCCAGAGTGGGCCTGGCTTCTAGAGATCCTTTCTCTTTGGATTAATCCATTCATTTGTCTCAGTGCACTTCTTTGAGGAACTGCTGTCCTACCTGGCTGCTGGGAAGCTGCTGGTTTCTTCACTTCACGGGAGGGAGCTGGCAAAGAGAAGAATAAACCATCTCTAAACATTGCTGGTGTTAAACTTTTCTTTATTACATAAAATCTCCACAACTGATAGGATTTCACATATTTGTTACTGTTTTGTTCTTATCACAGCTTCTAAATGTATAAGTATTAGAAATAATCCAAAGGTACTTGATTACTAGAAAACCTTACAGAGTTCATATGTTGATTTTAAAACATATTGTCTATTCACAACCCATACTTTTTTGCCTCTCAAGTTAAAATGTAGTGCACTCCCTGTTTGTTTCCTGTTTCTACAGCTGTAGATCACAGAATCATACAAGCACAGAATATGCTGAGTTGGAGGGACCCACAAGGATCATCCAGCCCAACCCCTGGCCCTGCACAGACACCCCAACAATCCCATCCTGTCCCTCAGAGCGTTGTCCAAACCCTCCTGCAGCTCTGGCAGCCTTGGGGCTGTGCCCACTGCCCTGGGGAGCCTGTTCAGTGCCCAACCAGCCTGTGGGGGAAGAACCTTTTGCTGAGATCCACCCTGAGCCTGCCCTGACACAGCTCCAGCCATTCCCTCAGGTCCTATCTTTTCCAAGCAGAGCTGCATCCAGGAGGTTGGCATCTGATGGCATCTTAAAAGCATAAACACTTTCTTAGCCCTTCAGATTATTTGCAATATCCAGCTGGATTGTGGAGCTGGAAGATTTGTGGTACACACTGCATTGAGTAACTCTGATTTTTAAAAAATAAAATAACATCACTATGTTACAATTTAAAAGGTGTCTGTTTATATGCAGCTGCATTTCCCAGTGATGGCAGATCTTGAATGTAGGTGTTCTATAACTTTCTAGAGTATTTTAATGAATAATTCAAGCCCTGAATCAGCAGTGTGTTTCCATGCCCACCAGCTGTAAGAATATGAATACTACTACTGATTTCTCTATTACTCAGTCAGAAAATGACAGTGCCTGCCTTGAAAAATCTGTTGAATTTATACTAAACCCTCCTAAAAAGGCAGAAATGTTTTACAGAAGCCTGAAAAAGACAGAACTATTGAAATGCAGCAGCACATCTACCAGACTGCTCTTGCAAACAGCAGAGTCTGTGTATTGACTGGGATGAAGGTACTGGGGACTTGAAGTTATTCCTAACTCGTTTTAGAAAAGCCAGAGGCTGAATGTAATACATTTGGATGCTCCACGGCCTTTTGGTGACTGGCTCCTCATTTTCTGCTGCCGAGTTGGGGATCTGCTCGACTTCCCCTTGGGCTGCTTCTCCTTCACCTTCACCTCCCTGTCGGCAGGTAAGGAATAGTCCCACGTGACGTCCTTGAACTGGAACATCAGCACTCTGGCTGGGGAGTTGATCACCATCCTGGGGAAGGGAAGGAAGAGCCATTAACAGCACAAGTGCCACGGACACGGCAGTTCCTGCTTGAGGGACCCATTTGTTGCTGTGCAGATCTGAGACAACCATCCCTTGGCGAGGGAAGGAGCACAATTAGCCCCATCAATCAGACACTGCACTTTTAACTTGTACTCTCTATGAACTCTCTGGGGCTCTTTTCGTTCAGCTCTGGGGCAAAATTACTTTTAAAAAAGTTAGGATGAAAATTGCCAGCAGTGGACTGAGCTTGATCAGTGCAGTCCTACAAGAAACTGGAAATATCATATCATCAGGGACATCACAGTGTAGATTGGAGGGGTGTGATGGGTCTGGTTGGGATAGAATTAGTTTTCTTCACAGATATCCATTTATTACTGTATTTTAGAGTTGTAACCAAACCAGCATTGAAAACACACCAGTGTTTTAGCTATTGCTTCCACAAAAGCTAGGAGCTACCTTTGACTAATGGTGCAGGAACCTGGAAAGATTTTCCATTACTGGCTTATATACAGAGGCTGTAGGACAAGGAGTCTTTGTCAGGCCTTGGCCTGACTCTCCAACCTCTTAAAAAACTTGGGTTATGAATTCAGCTTTGCAGTTGGGTCCATACCTTAAGTTGTATAGAAGCAGGAAATGGTATGTTGCTTAATGAACAATTTGTATCTCTTTTCAGCCATTGTGAACAAAACCAGATTATAAGTAATAGAGCCCTTCAAAAGTTATTTGTGAGAAGGAAAAATACACAATTCCTTAAATTGCATTGTAATCTACCTAATGTGGTTCAGAGACTGATGGCAGCTGTTGTCACCAACCTGTTTTCTGTCACATGGAGAGAAGACACGGGGTCCCCATTGCTGTTGACCACCAGCACGTTCAGGCAGGTTCCAGTCAAGAAGTTAAAGACACGGATCTTTCCATCAGCACAGCCACTGATGACTCTGAGGTAGAGGAACTCCACAGCCAGAACTTCCCTGAAAACACAGCAGGTAAGTGTTGGCACATTCCTGGTGTTTTCACGAGGGGACACGGGCAACTCTCATTTTGTCCTGGAGGAGATGCAAAGGTCTGGCTCCATCAACAGGCTGAACTGAGGAGCTCATCAACATAGTCAAAAGCTCTAACAGAGAAGTCCTTCAGAATTACTCCAGATCCAAATCAACCAGGCCAGTGCATCCTTCTCCTGGAAGGTGTCGCTGTCCCCAGCAGGGGGGTGGAAGGAGATGATCTTTAAGGGCCCTTCCAACCCAAACCATTCTGTCATTCTGTGATTCTGAGCTCCCCATAGCAACCAGCCTGGTTCTGCCCATCTGCTGCATTTCAAATTCCAGTTCTATGGAGGAAAGTCAATGAAAACAGTCTATCACTCTACAGTTTTCACAGTTCTATATACAATGGAAGTATCAGAAAATGGCAGAGCATACAGATGGTCAGGTTCAGCATGAAACTGGGCCACCTCCAACACAGACAGAGTCTGTTCCTATCCGGGCAGTGTGATACCCTGTGGCTCATGGGTTGGGATCCTTGGAATACTGGACTGTGCACCCTCAGTCTTTAGTCATCCCTGTTTGTGAACAAGTGCTTGTGGATTTGCATTTCGGGTTGTGGTGCCTGGCACAGCCTTTAGGATGAAAATTGTTGAAAAGGAGGATATTTCAAACACTAAGACTGACAGCTGAGGCATTTTCTTTTCCTGTAAGGGATGCATTTTCCTTACAGGTTTAGTACACTGTTGAATACAACTTGAAACACATCTGCTTCCTACTTAGGATGGAAGAAAGCCATTAGGCGTTTCCTGAGTTTTCCCAGCATGCTCCATCCCAGGACAAATCCATCGCTGCCTCCTGAGAGGAGGTGCCACTGATCAAAGGACAAGCAGCTCACTGGGCCTTGGTGCTTCTCTAATGTCTGCAAAGTAAAAGAAACAGGTGAAACACTGTCAGCAAAGCTGCTGAAGTACCTGATGGCATTCAGGACACCAGCCCTATAATGTATTGTTTTGTTGGGTGGTACTGCAGCAATGCACCCTCTGGATGGCTGTGTTAGTTTTATGGTCACTTAAAAGGAACATTCTGAGCTTGTTGCTGATGATGAGCTACTAGCATGGAATTAACATCCATTCTGCATCTTTATTATGTGTGATAAACAGATGTTACTGCACCGAGACCTTTGTGATCCCAGGAACAATATCTCAGATATCCCATCTCCAGCTGAGCTCAGATTGCAACAGCCAGGCTGGAGATGGGATATCTGAGATCTCTGGGATATCTCTGAATTTTCAACCCTCTTCCCCACAGGTAAAGAGCTTCACTCCTTTCAGAGGTATGGACTAATGCTGATGGCCATAATGCCAGGGAGGGGGTGGAGTCCCCATCCCTGGAGTGTTTAAGCAGAGCCTGGATGTGGCATCAGTGCCATGGCCTCGGTGACAAGGTGGTGTTGGGTCACAGGTTGGAGTTGATGATCTCAGAGGTCTTTTCCAACCTCACTGACTCCGTGATTCTGTAATTCTGGATGCCTGATAAGGTGATTTATGGACTCTGGCCTCCAGCCTTGCAGTGCTGAGCAGTTACTCCGCTGCTTCAGCTTTATAAACTGGTTCTGAGACCAGGTTTCATATTTTGGGCCTCCACATTTTGATACCTCCACATTTTAATACCTCCAGCCACAAGTCAGTCGAGCCCTCCCACCCTCTTCTCAGGTTCTGAATGTTTGTACCAGAGCAGAGATGAACATCTCTAGAGAGAATGAATAATCATGGGTGTGAAACAAGGCAAATCAAACCTGCCTTAAAATCAACAGCTGTTGGAAAGTCAGTTCTGAAATTATTTGTCATCTCTTTTATTGGTTAAGACTTCTTTTGGGATTGTTTTGGGGGGTCATTTTGTTTTTCAGAAAATCTCTGACAAAAGCAATAAAACTTACGATAAACCAGCACAGATTTTTGATCATTTAGCACAAAATTATCCCCCTAAGAAGCAACTCACCTTGATCAGAGCACCTGTGTCAGCACACCAGACCTTCACCAGCCCTTGCTGACACCCACTGACCACGTGGGTCCCGTCCATTTTCACTGCCCAGACAGCAGTCCTGTGCATCAGAGTGTTGAGGCACTTCCCACTCTTCAGGCTCCACACTGTTAGGGGCAAAGGAGAGAAATATTAAAAATACATCTGCCCAAATGATGAGTTTTGCTGAGCACAACATGAATTCAAAGATACTACTGGAATTACAGTCACACCTTGTCCCTGCAGCTCTGCGTGGAGCCCAGTGTTGACTTGAAAAGGATAATTTTGTGGCAAAAGAATTGAATGTAAAGTGCAGAAAATAGCACATCTTGTTCATCCTTATTCTACAAGGAAACCTCTGGCAAAGCTGGAAGTTGATAGCACTTGCCCAGGAGTTGGGTTGGCATTGTAGCCACAAAGCCATTAAGAGAGAATGAAAGCAGAATTGATGAGAATTAGTCAGAAAGACAGCTAGAGACTGGGTGTCTCAGCATTGGCTCTTCTAGAAGCAAAGATATGGGACACTAAAATTCACCCTCTGGCTGACACACTTCCTTCCACACTCACACTCAGCACAGCTCCCATTACCCTCCACTGTTGGCCTTGAGCTGAAAGCTCCTGGTCTTGGCTCTCACCTTTCACCATCCCATCTCCACCTCCTGACACCAACTGCTCTTGGTGTAAATCCAAGCAGGTGATTGTCCCATAGTGACCATTAAAGGTTTTCACACAGGCACCACTGTGTATATCCCAGCATCTACGAGGCAGCAACCGAAGAGGGAAGACAGTGATCAGTTTAATTGGTGGCTTATTCATCTTGTTCATTAATAAGATGCTCAGAGAGGTTGTAAATGCCATGTCTAAGATTGCCCAGGGAGTTGGTAGATGCTCCATCCCTGGAAGTGTCTAAGGACAGATTAGACAGGGCTTGGAGCAACCTGGGCTAGTGGAAGGTGTCCCTGCCCATGGTAGGGGGGTTGGACTGAATGGCCTCTAAAAGTCCTTTTCAACCCAAACCATTCCATGATTCTGTGATGATTATCTAATACTTAACGTGCCCAACTCTTCTCCACCCCCCACCAAGGTTAAAACCAGGAGTTGTTCCACTGAGGTGTCAGAGAATTTGGAACGCTCAAGTCAGGCTTAGTATTAAATTTTTACCCCTGTACTTGCACTCTCCCTGGATTTGCCAAGGGGCTGGTATCCCATGGCACAGCCCCAGCTCACCTGATGCTGAGGTCAAAGCCTGCAGTGAGCAGGAGCCCTTTCTCCTCACTGAGGTGGAGAGCTCTGGTGCTCCCAGGGTGGCCATAGAGCAGATCAGACACCTCTTTCCCTCCTGGCACCCTGAGCAGCCTCACTTGTTGGTTGGCAGAGGCAACGGCCACCAAGCTCCCACCACTGTAGTGGATCATTCTTCTCCTGTCTGACCTGCCCAAGAAACAGTGATTGAGGTGAGCTTTAGCCATCTGCAAGGCACAACAGCTCTGAGGCTGACACAGGCAGTGCTCTGGTGCTCAGCTGAGCAATCTGATGGGCAAAAGAGGGTGAATCCTTTGCAGGGCACCACAACCACCGTCCTAGTTCTGCACACCCAACTTTCTATCAGGAGGGTGGGATTAAAGAGGGGAGAGGGCTCCTCCCAGCCCCATAGCCCTTGTGATACACCATGGATTGCTAGCCCTTATGCCTTTAAAAATAGCTTCTCTTGGTACCTTTATTAAAATAATGGATTTGACATGGAGATTCCTTAATAACGATGCTGAGACACCCTTCTCCAGCCGTGCATTCTCATAGAAGGATCCCAGGGAGATGGACAGAGTTTCTAGAGCTGCTGTTTGGCCCCACAGCTGAGCAGTCTACTCACTGGGCCATGAGGACACGGGTGTTGTAGGAGCCACAGAAGACATTTCTCTCTTCCAGCTGGATGCTGTCGGTTTTCAGGTTACGATAGGCTGCCTGCAGGCTGACTTCCTCTGTCTGATGGAAAGAAAAAGAGGGAAAAGTAACTGAGGGAGGGAGAAACGCAGCTTTATTCCAAAGAATTGAACATCCTGGTCCCCACTACAGGGATGAGCCCAACAGAGACACACAGGGTTGCTGAGGAACACCCAGAGTGCAGGAAGTCCTTGGTTAGCCAAGGGCTGTTCCCATGCCATGTTCCATGGCAAAAATCAAAGCCCTGAGAGCTGCATCCTTTATTTTGTGGGAAGAAGGCCCAGGCTTGGCAGTACCCCTGGCCTCAGGGATTTGTGTGCAACTGGGGGTGGGCGAGGATGAGGGAGGAGTTTGGGAATGCAGGCTCCCTCCCTTGTGAGAAGGTACTGAGCAATCCCTTCATGATGGGGAAGGCCAGAAGCACAGAAGCAGGAGTGGGAGAAGAGTAAAGCAACTCCAAATGCACTGTCCTGTCTTCCTAGGCATGTCCTTCTTCCTCCCCAAATCCTCCAGTGCAGGATCCACGGAGGGCAAACAGCTTCCAGCATACCTTCGATTTGCGTCTCTGGTTGTTGTTTTTCTCTTCGATGACATCGCCCTCTTCATTTAACAGTGGAATTTGCACACTGACTTTTTTAGCATAGTTTGGAATGGTTTTTCTAGGGCACAACTCCTGGAATGAAAAAGTTGAGGCAACAGTTACTGCAGAGCACACAAGGGAAGCTGCTCATGTGCTGATGCTTCAGCAGGTCCATGGGATGCTGAAGTTACACTCAGAGCTGAGCTGCACACTCTGCCTTGTTGTTGTTTGAGACTGCCTTGTACTTATGACTTTGTCTATCTAAGATTTAACTTCTTGTGAAAAGTAATTGCTCTTTAGGTTTTTTCCCAAACTCTGGTCTTAAGCTTTCAATAAGCAGCAAGATTTCGAGCACATCTCATCTTTGGTGGGCACTCAGTTCTGAACCCAAACCCACTGAGATGAGAGGTTCTCAAAACACCTTGGTCAGCATTTAAGGTTGATTTTGAGCATGTGAAACTTTCCATGGAGCCTTCTTTGAAGGTTAGCACAGAGCTGAGGTTCTGTGCTCGCTCCACAGATCAAAGCACGCAAAGGCTCCAAATTGTCTCGTGGGGGATGTACCTTTACCCCTCTCTCAGTGTACAGCAGGTCCTGCTAACTACAAGTTTTGCTCTCCTGTGTCCCAACCACCACCTCCCACTCCTCACAAAGAGACTGCATTTCCATTGCCCTTTCTGGAGCAAATAAAGCTCATTTCTGAGCTGCCTCAGGGAGCTGTTGTAGCTCTCCCCAATTTCCACTGGTCTCAGAAGTCCAGTATTTTCACTGTGACCAAACTCTGCTTTCTTGATTACAAGAATGTTTTGATCCATTTTTGGAGTCACAGGCTCTCTAAAGGCCAGTAAAAGCTGTTCTCTTGTGCTTACTTGAGACAGTGTGAACAGGTAACCTGGTTTTGCTCTGCAGATGGAGACTGGCAGAGTCGGGAGGCAGCCTCTAGCACAAGTATCTCCATGTAAAGTCTTAGGCAGCAGCAAAACACCCTCTTTTTGAAGAGCATAAACCTGGCAGGAGCACAGGTGCCATACCTTCAGCTGCAGGAAATCCTGCTGTACTGTCGCTCGACACTCACGTTCCTCTTTGACTCCTTCAGCCAGAAAAGCCCAGTGACGGTTCACATCAGAGCATGCACTGAGGGATTTCTCATCCAAAAACCCTGAGAAATTAAAGGGACAGATTGGCTAACCCCTGTCCACGCTGCAGACCATTCCTTGCCCTCAGGGGAAACCACCCTCGGAAAATCAGAGCAGCTTTACCCAGGATGTACATGGACAGCTGGAGGGGCAGGCAGCGAGTGAAGTCCTGGCCCTGGCTGACTTCAGAGTGTGGCTGGAGAGATGCAGGAACCATGGTGACATCTTCATCAGCTAAAAACACAGGTGAGTTGTCCTCTGCACCAGGACCCTCCTGAACTCGGCGTTTCGGGGCTGGGAGCACGCTCCTGGTGAGGGACCACCTGGCAGACAGGGGAATTCACAGTCCTATAAGTGCCTGGGTTTTGGTGGCCCTTCACAGCACTGTTGTCAGTGAAGCCCTGCAGGAGTTGGTTGGTGTTAGTCTGAGTCTTCTGCTTGTTACTTTGGTGCTGTATTAACCAGAGGAAAATGCTGACAACACTCCAGGTTGGGGTGTGAGGGACAGGATGACAACTCTTCCCTCTCTCCCCTGCTTTGGAGAGTGCTGAGGGCTCTCCACAGATGGAAACATCAGGGGATCAGGGAGGCCACAGGAGACTCTGGATGAGCTTGGTGGGGATGAAGTGCAGCACTTTTCTCTTTACTATCCCAAGGCACTTTATCTCCTCCACATCTCCCTGTAGCATGGGAGGGTGACTGTCCCAGGCTCTAAGGGGACACACCAAAACCACCTCCTGCAAGGACATAACACTGCTTTACTGAAAAGACTGGAAAACCTTCTCCTCCTTTAGCCATAAGATTTCCTTCAGTAAAAACACGGCTAGAGCTACGACACTGCAGAAGAAAAGAAAGGGGGACTAATGTCTCTGTTGTCCCCAGGACAACGGAAAGTTAAACACAGCTAAAGCCCCGCTCACGTTCGTGATTCCTGCTGCTGTTTGCCGACACCTCAAGCATCCTTGCCACACTCCAACACCCCTCAGAGGGTCCCCGGTCACCCTGCAGCCGAGCAGGTCATCTGCTGTTCAGCTCAGCCCCCCGCGAGTCTCAGCCGCGGGTACCAAGAGGGGTTCGGAGCTCGGGGGGACCCCGCACAGCCCCTGCAGTCCCTCGGGGGGGACCCCCACGGCATCGAGCCACCCCCCGGCCCCCTATGGTGGCCTCGGAGCCCCGGCTGGGTGCCGCTCACCTGCCCGGGGTCCCCTCCTGTCCCCGCCGCGTCGGGGCTGCTCGGCGACAGTTACCGTAAATATCCAACCGCCGCCGTATTGCTGCTAAGAGCCGCGCAGCCCGCGGGCAGAGCCCGCTGATCAGGCTGGTGACGGCGGGTGTCGGGCTGACCGGGAATGTGGGGCTGACGGGGATTTTGGGGTACCGGAGCGGATGCTGGGGTGACGGCAGCCCCTCGGGATGGGGTCCGGCAGGCAAGGCAGGACAGGGCAACCCTTTCCCCCAGGAAAGAAACCTCAAAGCCTTGTGGTCTCAGGTGGAGCTGAGGGGCCACCCGGAGCACTCCTCGGGCAGCAAGACCTTTGTGTCCTGGTACCCCTTTTCTGGGAGGAATCTTCATCCGTGTTCAGTTTTGGGAGGCAGACTCGCAATTTCGGCTCTGGCTCTCGCAAATGAAGGACACCCCTGTCCCCCGCCGTGCCGTGACAGCTCTCAGGGAACTGTCCCGGCGTGCTGGGAGCTTTGGGAAACCCCTCGGGAGCAATCCCGGGTCACCGAGACACTTTTTACTTGATGGAAGAAGCTGTCATTGCCCTGACCAAGCCTTGCATGTCCCCTCCAGTCGCTGCCCGGTTTGTCCCTGCCTTGCCTCCAGTGCAGCGACCCAGGAGGGGACGTTCTAGCAAACAGAGACCAAGGGAGTGGCACTATGGCTGGCCACATGCCTGCTGGGCGACAATTTCCCATTAAACTCCTTTCTGGTGGAAAATAGATCAAAAAATAGGAAACCCACATTTTTTTCCCAGAAGGATTTTGAGGCTCTACTTGGGGTTTGGAGGAACATCAACCCAAGGTGTTGTGGTTGTTCAGGTGTGCAGTTAACTCCTCCCACGGCTCCTCTGGCCTCTTCAGGGCTTCTCCAATTTGTGCCTTGCTCTGAGCACCAGCACATCTGGCTGCACACGAGCACATCTGGCACGGGCTCAGCCACCACACCTCTGGCCGAGAGCGCTCACAGCTCTTGGCAGAACGAGCTGGTCACAAGCCAATTCCCAGCAAAAGATGAGATTCCTCCTGCAGGAGAGTGCTGGAGGAAAAGAGGGTGGAGGTTTGGGTCCATGCTAGTCCCTGCAGAGGAGGGAGACCCTCAGCAGAGGGAATTAAATGGTGCTGGTGGAGAGGAGCCAGTAGCACCCCCCCAGAGCAGAGCAGCTCCCAGTCCAGCTGCAGGATGAGTGGCCAGGATGTGTTTGAGCACCCCTGACAGGAGCAGCCAGCACCTCTGCACCTGCATCCAGTTTTGGCCACATAGAGGGGCAGTTTGCAGGTGTCAGGCCAGGGATTTTGATGCCACCAGCTGGGCTCATCCCAACCAGGCTCTTGGGGATCTGTCCCACATCCATGGTGTGATTCCTGACACCTCTACACCAAACCTCTCTCAAATCACCAAAAGAGTGACTGTCAATGGACCTCCAAGCCCTGGGATGTCTCTGTTCCAATATTTTGATTTTCCCTGCTGGTGGCCAGAGGGGTTCCTGCCCCCACCAGCTCTGCAAACACACTCAGCCAAAGGGATCTGGGATCCCAAAGGGAAATGGGGAGAGGGGGTTGTGATGGCTGGAGGGGCAACCCACAGCAGGGCCAGGAGCCCCATAGCTGAGGCCAGGAGATCACTGTGACTCATTTGTTTATCCCATCCCACCCCATCCCATCCCTGCTCTTCCCATGGATTGCTCCAAATTCTTGGCTTGGTTGCCTGCAAGTGGAGTTGCTCGTGGGGTGACTGCGATTTTGGCAGGGGGGTGAGAGCAGCCTCTCACTGACTGACACTGCTGTTTTGTTGTTTTTTTTTTTTCCATGGCAGCCAAACAATACAAAGAAATCACTCAAACAACAGGAAAAGAAACAGCCCTGGGGATTAATTTGAGCTGCAAAGTTTAAATCCATTGGAAAATTCCCACTTCTGTGGGTGAGCTCAGGCAGAGCCTGTGCCCACTGCCTGGACACCGATGGCATTTCAGGGCAACACTCTTTGCCACAGCATGTTTATTGAAAGGTAAATGTCTCTAATTAAACAATTAAAAAAGGGTTATTATATTTTATTATATTTATACTTCTATATATTTGTATATTATGTTGTGTTTTGTATTACATTATGAAATATACTATATAGAAGAGGTTCACAGATATATGCATTTATGTGGTTTGCATTTTATAAAATTATTACTGTTAGTAATATATAATATTTATATTAACCATTTATTAATATAAATGTATTTTATTTGTTTATATTTTATTAATAAAATAGAGGAAACAAATACATCACCCTGGAATTTTTGAGTCCAGGCCACCAGACAGGAAATATAACAAGAAACAACTCCCAGGGATGATGAATTTGTGTTCTTGAACTGCTTGATGGAACTTTGCTTTGAGTTTCTCTTCATAATACATAAAATTAATTGAACCAAAAGACCCAAAATATAGCGTTGGTGTAATGTCTCCTCTTAAGTGTGCAGGAAAAAAAAGGGGAAGGTAGAAATTGACCTTTCTGCCCCAAAAATGAAAATAGCAGAGCAGGGTCTGCTACAAACCCACATGGAAAGGCCACCCAACCTCCCTGCCTTTCTTCTTGCGCCTTTCGCATCAAAGCCAATTTTCCAGCTGATTCCCGGATTCCACCCTGGGTGTGAAGCAAAGCTACACCCACAGGTTTCCCTGATCCTGTGCTTTGCTTCAGCCCTGCTGGCTTAGGCTAAGCTGTTACACGTCCTCTAAGGCAATTAATTTTGTCCTAATGCCATTTTCCCCCTCAGCATCCCAAAGTCTCCAAGGTGCTCCGCTCACCCGGGGGCCTCTTCCACAGGGAATGAAGGATGAGTAAACACCCCTGCAAAGCATTTCAGCTCTCCCCTTTTCCCCTCTGCCAGCCCAGGGTGAGGCAACCCCAGCAGCCTCTCAGTGAGTGGCCCAGACCAGCTCATGACTAAGCTGGGAGTATTTTTGGTTGCTCTTAATAATGCAGCAGGACTCGCTGCATCGGAGCCTGGCCGTAATGATGTCATTTGTCATCACTGTCAGCCCCTCTCATTGCGCTGTAGCTCCATGGCAGTGTGATGTTAAAGCCCCTGTCACACTCCTGGGGGCCCTTTCTGGGCTTTGTTGTGGGATGCCTCAAGAAAATCCAGTTTTACACCACTGACCAACCCTGACCTGTCCCGGTGTGTGCGAGAGGCACGGTTTGATTTGTCTCAGTAATGAAGCATGTTTTGTTTGGTCCCAGGGATTTCTCCTGGTGGGAGGTGGGCAAAGCAGTGGCCAACAAAGCATCATCAGTGGCATATGAGGAGCCAGAAGCCAACAGGAGGTCAACAGCGGCCAACTTGGGTCAACCACGACCATCTCAGGGTCAACGGTGACCAGTGTGACATGAACAGCAGCCAATCTGGGGTCAACAGTGACCATGGTGGGGTCAACTGAGTCTAAAACGTGGTCAGTGGTGGCCACTGAAGAGCCAGAAGCCCACAGGAGGTCATCTTGGCATCAACCACAACCAACCTGGGGCCAACAACCACCGTCTTGGGGTCATTGGTGACCAGGGGGACATCCCTGGAGGCCAGCGTGGCATCATCAGTGGCCAATGATGAGCCAGGAGCCAGTGGTCACCAGAGGCCACCTCGGGGTCAACACAGTAGGACATCAACAGTGGCTGTGATGGGCAAAGCAGTGGAGTTGTGGGGGCTGGTTGGAGATGGATCCCATGGTCATGTTGTGGGCTCAGCTCCTGGTGATGGCCCTGGCAGAAGGGGCTCTGGGCTCTAAGGTACCTCTGGGTCTGACCCTGCACCCTCTGGGGGCTCAGCACTGGAGCAGCACCAGCCCCTTCCCTCATCTATCTTCCCATGGCAGTTACACCAAGCAGACAGACTGGCCAGGTTTTTCCATGGCTTCCTCATCCCAGGAGGAGGGTGAGGCTTTCTCCAGTGCCAACACGTGTCTCCTGGTCCATGAAACATCCCAAAGTGTGCTGGGAGCCCTGTGGGACAG